TACCACAAAGCAAACAATAGACTTAATTAATCCCTACAGCAATATACTTATATACATCACACAATGTAGATGAAGGTTGTGTACAGTATTCCAAGAAATTACTATAATACATGTATAAATTATATTGTTCCATAGTCCTATTTACTACATTATACTCTCAAAAGGAGATACATATTTTTACATCCAACAACTATTTTCTTTTTTGTAGAATGTGGGAAAATTTCTTTAATTCCCCGTGTCAAAGTATTCTTTTTATCAGAATGCCATGTAAACTCATTAATAATGTCTGTTTTTCATGGACATTGGAGTCTTCACAATAGTCCAACAACCTTTCTAATTCAGAGCATAAATTTGGTGATTTATATCTCCCACTACCTATGAAAAGCACAAATATGTATAATTTATGAATAACAGTCCCAATTTCTGACAATCGAGTCTTGATATATAATATGTACTTATGTTTATTCTTAAATTCACACAAACTCCAAGCATTGGGGTTAAAGCATTGGGATTCTTTTCCTCCCTTTTTCTGTGGGGTGCTGGTAACAATCTGACCTGGAGTTTGTTATTGTATATTACTAGTAACACGCATATAAATTGCAACTTGATAGCATATTTGATATAGAATAAAAATAAAAATGTATTATTGTTTAATTAATATCAATAGAGGAAATATTTAAATCCCAAGGCAACTAAGCACTCACCTCTAACACTCAATTCTTGATTCTTCGATACCAAACGTATACCTTTCCTCCTCCAAGCTTGATGATACTTTTGTAAGGAAATTAAGACGAATTTAAATAGTGTTAAATACTGCGCGACTGCATAGTAACACAGAGGAGTATACCCATACACTGTTTACGAAACGAGATTTGTCAAAATAGTCGTATTAAAATAAAAAAATTCAGTATAAAGCTACCTTCAAATGATAGTTCTTGAAACGATCGTTCCAAATCATCCATAATTTTGATCGCAGGTTCAATTCTTCTTCAAAATATATCTACATATTGTAGTCTTCACTCTTCACGCATTTCTCACTTTTTGCAAAAATGGGAGCCGGAAATCTGCATATTCTGCCAGGCGCTTCGTTCTCCCGTCGCGTCCTCCCCAAGCACCCCTGCGCGCTCGCACATCTCAGCCACAGATCTCTATATTACGCTGAATGCAACCTTTATGTTTTCCAATAAAGCGCCTGGGTACGAGGCTGCAGATTTTCTATCACTCGAATTTGATACGATGCGCGTGCGCGGCGGCCATGCTGTATCAGATTTCTGGCCATTGAACCAAACGTTAGGTAATTTGCGCATTTTATGCAAGTGTAACTTAAATCGGTCTTGCAATTACACGCACGCATGCAGCATCAACAAATTAGAAAATAGAGAAAATAGATTGTTAAAACAACTAATTTGAACTTGCATACATTTTTATATAGATTCATTAAATTTTAGATTTGTACTGTTTTACAGTATACTAATTATAACGTAATAACGTTAAATAGAACATGTACACTCTAATGCTTATGGAATTTTTGTAGACTACATGACAAGGAGAGTTGATGTTTGATCAAGATAACTTTGGTTCAGTCGAACATCGTTAAATCGAAAATTGGTCCAAAGAGGTTTGAGTAATTTAATTGGGTGGTCACAAAACTGAGATAACATAAATAGGTGTATCTGCACTCAAAAACGTAAAATTTTTCTTATTGTATGCAAATTCGCGAGTATAATTTGTGTGTAGTCAGTGTAGATGCAACCTTATTAATTGCTAAGCTGAGACAGGTAGGACAAGCAAATAAGATTTTTCCAGACATGAGAGTCAATAGATGTATGTTACATTGATGCATCAACACTTGATGTTTCTGGAGAAGTCTTGCTTGGGTTATCGTAGGAAGGGGGCACAAATGGTGTCACAATTAGATGTCTCGAAGATGATGTGGATTGATTTTCTTTACAATTGTGAGTATAAACTCCCCTGTGCGTGCGTTTGGAATTGTCGTTTCTATATGGGCGACTGCACTGCTATATGCTCTGCAGAAAAATTGTGCGCATTTTGACACTTTAGAATCGCAGTTCTATATGGGCAGCATGCTATTCCTATATCCTTTAGTTAAAAAATTGTGCACCTTTGCGCCGGGATGGAGTATTAAGTTGCTTTACAGGGCGGAAATCTCGACTTTCGGATTAAGGAACGCGGTCCTTCCTATATCGACCTAACAAAAACTTCTTTTTCATACAGCCGGGGTATATATATGTGTAGCGCAGATAGCGTATGCAAATAACATGTTATAGCTCTTCTACTGTTAATGTTTGGGCAGATGCTCTAAAGTATTGAAGGAAATAGAGTATTTCCTTAATCCTGATGAAATATTTAGAGATATTTTGTGACCACCAAAAATTTTTAGTTAAATATGAATTGACAGGGAGCCCATTTTTTCTGACAGAGGTCAAATGTTTTCAATAACAGCTAAATATTGCATCAATTTTAAGTACGGATTACAATAATCTGATTATACAGCATAAGACTATTGGATTTTAGTTACGCCCGGGAATGCAAATGCGAAATGAAAGTTGTCCGCCATTATGTCGTGGAGGTTGGGCGTTTTTGTAAGTTATGCGCATGCGTGAGTTTAAGACGAGTTAAAACTGGTAACTAGCAAACGTTTGCAAGTGTGCGATTGGCTGAATTAAAATTTTGGTCACGTCAACATAACTGACATTTTGAAATATAAAAAACTATTTTTATTTCGATGATCTTGAAAATATACGAAAAATTCAGTCGTAAAATTGATTAAAATATAATGTGAAAGATGCTTTGTTGACCCCAAACTGATGTTCCCGACAAATCACAAAGTCTCAAACAACAATATTTAGTAAAGAAAATGTATTAAATTCACTAAGTCTTCGTCCGCACTTCTCGCGTGTCACACCCTCACTAACTCAATTTAAACCCCTTCCCTTAATTAATGTGATATATGATATTGTGCAGTTTGTGCATTGTTAAGTGCCTGCCCTAAAGGTATTTTTAGTGCTTATCTGTTGGTCAGTTCCCGACAAGATGCTTTCGGATAGAAAAACTTTGATTCAAAGGGATGGTAAAAAATCTACGATTTTGAAGCATTTTTAGAGTGTTTTTGAACAGGTAAATGGTTAGATTTTGTATTTTAAAACACTTACAAGTATTTTGTAAGTTTAATTTGTGGATTTATCAACAAACGTATTGACACCTCTTAAATTTATTTGTCAATTTCGTTAAAATTATTTTGATTGGGAAAACATTTATTTTTAAAGGTGAATGTGTTTAAGAAATTGAAATTTCGCTAAAAATTGTAGTAGAATATTTAAAACTATTCGCAGCACAATTAATGAATTATGCTAACAGTATAGTTGAATTTGATAGCTCGAGAGTCGACTTTATATAGTATACTTTATTGTACTTCATATAGTCATTTACTTATACGAATTTAAATTATGGAAATATATGTTTATCCCTTCAGGCGAGGGGTTGCTGCATGCATGTATTTCTAGTATGACTGTGTAGTCGTGTGCTCTCAAAATGAAAGCATGTATAACTACAGTCTAAAAAGCGATATGGCCGATATAGCTATATGGCAGAAAAATGGCGAATTTGTATATATCATATCACTTTTTCACAGTATAGCGAATACTATAATGTTTATACCTATACTATAACGCATTAGTTAGTTGTTTTTGCCAACATGGATCGTGAAATGCATAGTTTTATTATATATACATCTCAGATACGATGCTTAGTTAGAGTTTTAATGTATTTATCACACTTCACACATATTTCTTTACTTATAAATAATCAGGCAATCCCAGAAAGTTCTTCTCCTCTCCTCTGTCAATTGATAATGTTCCAATTAGACAAGTTACTTTTTCAAAATCTCTTGGTACATATATTGATGAAAATATGTCTTGGAAAATTCATATTAGAAAATTGTGCAAAAAAGTTGCCTCAGGTATAGGTGCTCTAAAACGTATAAAGCCTTTTGTTCCTCATTCCACATTCCTCATTTCACAGTGCCTTATTCACTACAGAACTGTTTAGTACTGCAAGCGTTAAGCTTGCCACACTCATCAACGACTGCATATAAGAGATGCAGATTTAATTAGGTCATGTTGCATGTAATTGGTTAAACTGGGTTAGTAAAAACTTCTTTCGATGCCGGCGTGTGGAAACAAGTTCATTACGCTAGTTCAAAGAGCTTAATTCAGGATGACATATGATTATAGATTTCTTGGAGGGCATAAATTACAGCGTTTAGTTTTATTGCAATGCGTTTGTAATTTGTTAATGTGATTTCTATTAGTTTAGATTTATCATAAAGTTTCGAACCTATAGAATTTCGTCATGTAAAGAAAAAATATCGCCTTTAAGGGGCCGGAATGTTGGTTTCAAAACGGAAGGTCATTCAAGTTGTTATTTTGTAAAAGACCTTCTGGCAAAAACAAGTTGTCATTTTCCGTTTCAGTGCAAAGATTTACATCAAATGCGTGAATTTGGTTAGCAAATGCGCAATGCGGTTACCTTGCCTAGCCACGCTATGTCCGTCAAAGTAAAACACTTCGCGGTTTCTATGTTTGAAAATCTTATACAGTCCTTTTGGTGCTGTCTAAACAAAAGTAAAAGTAAAACAAAAGTTGAATTTTGAATGATTAAACTGTCTTCATGTTTTCCTAAGTATCGTTTAAAAATTAACATCCACTAAACAAAAACAACAAAGTTTATAATTATCATAACCTCGATCACTTTTTCTATTGAATTTGAAATTACATAAACAAAGGCAAAATGATGTCAACATTTTGTTTAGTTCACCTTATGCATGGGTTACTAAACAATAGATAATGATAGGCATTCACATTTAGTCAATTTTTCTAATATTTATTGTTTTATACACTGTATAATATTAATTAAAGCATTTCATTTAAGGTTCCCATATCAACCCTTATTGAGGCACATTTTCAAAAAAGTCACTTGAAAATCTTATAGAAATTTTAACGAACAATATATAACAAGACGCCTACTAGGCGTTATGATCGCGTCGTTCGCAGCGACGTAGCCAGCCCAGCTATGCAAATTTTGTGTCGTAAATGTTCTTAATAATAAAAATGAACAATATACCGAACTATAGTATAGGTCGCATGTTGAAAGCAGGAGAAACATCAACAGCCCATTTCAAAACCGCTCTACCTGTGCGCAGGTTCCCGATTAGGGTGATACGGCCTGCAGCTAGCGACGCTGGGGGTCGACAAAGGTTTTTTGCCTGTTAATGGGCTAACTCATTAGGCATCGGAATGTTTATGAATCTATCCACTCATCTTACCTTCCAAAAACTTCTCTTGGTATGCCAGTCAACAATAACAAACAAATAAAGATTATCCAATCTGTGTTTCGCAGAATGGCAGCCGCCCCTTAAATCTCTTGCTCCGGAAAAACGAACTCGAGTCAAAGAGCTAAGTATAAGGAACAATAATTTTTTCCACGGCCAATTGTTTATTTTAATGTGTCTGTCCACGGGCTATAGCTGTAAACTATACTACAAACCGACTCCCGGAATCCTGCATTAACGCTTTTTTCAAGAACGTACAAATTTCTCGAAATATTTTATACAGTATCAGACACTATCAGCTAACCAATTCGCCGTAAAAAATTAAGTCGTAGGTTTGTTAACACGGCAATGTTGAAGTCGTAGGTTGTGTTAACACGGCAATGCGGCAATATTGAAAGCCAGTCGATTTTTGGTTGCCGAACGACCCTGTACGTATATAACTACGTATCGACCATGTTTCAACCTTGAAACAACGTTGACAAGCGACATTGATTCGACGTCGTGGAAATGACCTTGACGTGGAAACAACGTCGATTTCCCGCTGATCGACGTCGCGACAAAAGTTCAACCAAAATTCCACGTCGAAACGAAGTCGTGTGCTCACTTGGTACCCATATAGGCATGCAGGAAACGGCGGATATCGCCTGTCAAAAAAGGCCAATTGTCTACACAAGTGTAGTGTCTGTTATTTGGCTTACACAATCGGCAATGTACGTCGCCACATCTTCCTTCTTAATGTTGAGACAACATCTATATAATTTGTCGATGGTTGACGTGATTTTGGTCTCCACTGTAGTTTTGCCAACTCCGAAGTTCGCGATTTCCTCGTAAGCGAAATCGCCAAAATTTGCCGCTAGATCTTTCCAGTTTGGCCTACCTTCAGGAGTGAGCAGCTCCACGAGTTTCATAAGAAAAGAAGAGGTTTGATTTTGCAGGAGCTGACCTGTAAACAGTACTTTATAACAGTATTCAATGTTTTGTTCGGGGTGCATTGAATTTCAATCAAAAAATTGAATCACACGGGCAGAGGCGTAGCCAGGATTTTGGGGAAGGGGGGCCAGCAAGAACATTGGCGGGGCCAGGCCGCCAGTGTCAATCGAGACAAGGTTTGTGCAAAACATTCTGTGCAGGATACTATGGCAATAATGATGAAAATGACATGCAGCCGGAAGTTTTAAAATATTGACGCCCTTACAACGATTCGCTTACGCCCCTACCCAAGAAAGATGTTTAGCTTAAACGGTGAACTGATAAGAGACTTGAATGTTCAATTTCCCAAAAGAACTGCATGCATAATAATTGCAAATGAATTGCATATGATGTGTGTTCAGCTTAGATGGGAACGTATTTGATCTCTGGCTTCGAAAAACCGGCCCCAGACTAACAATCTTATCTATGAAACTTATTCATAAACTATCCCTGTGTGCAGCGATTACTTTACCTGTATGTAATTGCTTGTATCGTCGTTGCCCTGGCGGGAGCGCCCAGTAATCCTTCTCCCTGACATTGCAGATAATTTTTTTTCGTACACCAGTAGACGATAAAACCCACCGGAAGAAAAAAGAATATCAGTACCACCGCCGTGACAATGAGCAGTGTTAGGTTTGTGGATGAGCAACTGCTTTCATTTTTTTCTCCTGGTAAAATATTTGCAAACAATGTGTTGAAGACTTCAATTTGATTACGAAATCGCGATACATAATTGCATTTCCAATTCCATTTATCAGATATGACTCACTATCATTCCAACAAGTATCATACATGATTTATGAATGCTGAAAACTTACCTCTGTAATAAATAAGTCAAAGAGCGGGATATTCTTTTATGAGCCCTATATCAGAATAAATTGAATTATTATGTTTAAGAAGTCAATCCTGATTATTAAATAATATCATAGGAATTCATAGGAATGATAGACTGTATTTTTGGTAGCATTGCCTACAACCAGATGCAGTTACTTATTACCAACTACTCAACTATACTGACACTTTAGTTCGACAGGATCATTTTCAAAATACAACTGACCACACAAAATACAAAATCTGGGATTAAAAAGTAGACAGAAACCAAGTTTGCTAAACACAGATCATCATAAGAACTCCACGTACAACAACAAGGGTATCACTTACTGTTCCACCACAATTGAGTCAGCAAGGAAGCAATATTTATATCATCGATGAAATCTTTTGTTTTTCCTCCATGATACATTGTATGCACTTTCATTGTCTTATATAGTAAGGTTAGTGTAAATTGGGGATTGATACAATTATCAATCAGTCTATATTATCTATGATTAATTATTCTTCTCTATTTTAAGTTTTCAAAAGAGTATGTTGCGCGTAGACCATTAGGTATTAATTTCAAAGACTTACATGTACGTAAAAACGAGATATGATTGTAGTGGCGGGTAATTTTCTTCGCAATACGATATGATGAAGGTGTTGTGGTTGCCATGCCTGGTTTTAATTACCTTGAAGTCTTGTTTTCAAAGGAGAACCTGAAGGGAATATATTTTACAGTTTTACTTTTCCATCCATTTTTCCCCGAGCCGGCGCGAAGCGCCGTGCGAGGGTACTAATTTCGCCCGGAGATTAGGATTACACCCGGAACCCGTGAGAACATAGCGAAATGAAAGTGGACGGTCAACGGTGGACGTTCGACCTTTTTGCCAGTTATGCGCGTGCGCTGAAATTAAACGAGAGAAGACTTGGTAATCAATAACTTTCTGATTGGCTAAGACAAGAAGGCTAAAATTAAACGACTGAAGACTGGTTTTTAGTGAGTGGGAAGATTTTACACTTCATAATTTCTCACCCGGCCACATTTATTAAAAAGTCATTCTTTTCAGTTTAAACACAACTAAATATGCTAAAATGTATTTCACTATAAATCTGAATGTGTTATGTGATCGACGACATTATCATTTCATTATAAACTCCGTTTTTATAATGACAAAAAGAAAATCAAATAAATATATTCGCGTGCAAAAACCAGTCGAGACGTAACAAAACTTCGGAAGTTGTACGAGACGTCTGATGTTATATTTCAATGAAAAGTAATAATTAAAATAATTTACCATAATACTGATTATAGATGAATAACTTAACTTCAAAAAATGCTAAGAATCTTGTCGTATTTTTGCCCTTTTTTCCCAAAAATATGAGGGTAAACTAAACTTTATAAACCAAAATATACGGCCGTAACAAGTTGCTATGGCTACAGTGCTTCCACTTCCAAAAAAACATTTCCATACTTCTTTTCTCACATACCACGACATAACTATCATGTTAAATAATCATCCCTATTCTTAATTTCGTTTAACTGAGGCGAGGGGTTGCTGCATGCATGTATTTCTAGTAAGCCAGTAAAATGGCAATGATTAGAAGCTCGAATGAAAAGTAAGTTGATATCTTGAGGCAAAATACGTTTAACGCATGCAGTCTGTAATATTTCAATGTCCTCAGCAATTCGATATTTCCACCGTAATAAGGCGTAATTAGAGCTTGATATTAGATTTTTACCCTAAATATTTAAGAAAGGACTTTTTCATTGATAAGTATACGTAAGACGGGATTTCTACGTGACAAGCAATGATTGTCAGTGAGCTTTTTGAATATACAGATACAAACGTAAAAGATTTTAATAGTATAAAAAGAAGTATACAATATGATTTGTTAAGAAACAATTTATTAATGACGACACAATACATGAAAAACAAGTCACAAACTCAGCAAATTTGCCATCCTGGATTTCAAATTTACAGAGAAATTGCAAGGCTGGCTAACTTTTGGTATCAATGGTCTCATGAAATCACCACCTTGTCTCTCTTTTTTAATTCTTGAACTTCGTTTATTGGGGATGATACCTCCTCCTCTCTTGTCTTTTTTTTCTTGAATTCTCTTGCTCCTTCTTACGGGGTATTTTACCATTTTTAATCCCAGTTGTCTTTCTTCTGTAAAATAATTTCATCTTTGACAATTTTTTTCCGAACTTCTATGACCGAACCTTCCTTTATTGCTTTTTCTACCTCTCTCGAAAATTTCTCAGGAAACGGCAACGATGAGCTCCTTTCCGGGGTATTTGGTGTTTATTCCTAGCTCTCCAATATATCGACTACCACCACTAACATTTATTATAAAGATATAGTAAGAAAAATTTCACATTATTAATAATACCGGACAGAACAAAAGGCATGCCCAACAGAACAATTTTTCTAAAATTAAGCTGCCACAAAGCCAATCCTTTTTGGAGTACCACTCCTTCATGAATGACATCCCCTTATTTTTAATATTTAAATTTGGTCGTTCCTTGACAATAACATTTTGTTCGACAGTTGGTCGAACAGAAAAAGATGTTTAACAACAAAGCATTTACAATATCGGATACACATGATAGAACAGAAAGTACTTATAGGCCGAATCATGTCACCCGGATTTTTCCTTTCTTTTCTTTTCATTTCCGATTCCAGAAAGGTTGGAATTTGATTTAAGTAAGACAAGCTTTATCATACGTTATCCCATATATTTCGACCGGAGTTTGTGACGAATAATAAAAAAAACTTTCAAAAAACGTTTCAAAAATGTTTAATATTTATTTGTTTTACACCTTTTCATTTGACGAACGTGATGTTAGCCTATGGAGCAAGACATTTCACAAAAAATAGCTTTTTTAGTAATACTCCGGAAATAAATTTTAATGGTTTATTAATTTTAATATTTTGCCAATACATTGATTGAACTTATCCATAAAAAATTTTCGTTTTTTATAAAAAATCTAACCGTTCCTTGGAACGACACTTTCCATAATAGTATACTTGTGCAAATGTGGATTCTTTTATGCGGGATTCGTAAATTTAAATACAAAGGCTTTGACTGGGTTCTTTTCCATTTCAAAATAGGAAATTAACACTTTACTTACGTGCGTATTTGAAAGATACTTATTTCAACAGTCTTTGAAAACATTTTGAATTGAAATTATTGAAGTGATCGTGTCTTCAGAGAAACAATCAAGAATCCTAAAATATTTACTGCATTAGAACTAAAAATTCTTGTTGTGTTCAGTTCGATCTTTGCCTGAATGTCTATTATCAATTTAAACTTTATGTTGCTTACCTTTCACGATGTATGTTGTGTACTTTTTTTCTCCTCCTACATGTACGTGATGTGCGTCCTTGTGTATTTTCGAAATTTATGTTTTGATAACTAATATTTCTATTGTATTGTGTGTCCGTTCTTCTGTTCGCGTTTTCAATTAGGTGACTTGTTCGTGTATACGTGCTTATTATTATTAAAAACTCCTTAACTCTTCCTCTTTTGTGCTGCAAAAAGTGTGTTCTCGGCGAAAAAACTTATTTAGTTTTGTCCGTGAAGAGGCAAAATGATTTCAACCTGAATTCCACTGGAGAACATACTCGATTCTTCCTGGTCCAGCTACAACGCCTCATAATGGCACTGGGGTGTATAACAGAAAAATCTCTTGTAAATATTTTCTGGAAAGAAAAAGTATACGGATTGGAAAGACGTATACGGATTGAAAAGAGTTCATTAGTGACACCAAAAAGATTTTGCGAACATCGTGTATCAAGAACACAATTTTATATTTGGAACTCTAAGTTGTATAACCTCCAATACAACCACTGGACTAACTGGACATTCTTTCTGAGGATAGAGTTCAAGTGGTTTTCTGTCTCTTGAACTTCAGTAAAAGAAGTATTTCCACCTTTATCTTAGGAATCTCCCCTAATCGATCACCATTGTAAACCGAATATCGCTTCCCCAGTTTACTCCTTGTGGTAAATGTTACCGATGGTTACTCTGGGATTTTAGAGGAACGTTTCACCTACGCATTCAACCCCTCATCTATAGTTCATAAGAACTCAGAATATCTCAACCCATGTAAGAAATACCTCCACCACCTTGCCAAACCTACACCCGTGCTTAAACTAGCGCTTCTATAATCAACATGAACCACCATCAACAACTATACCAACTCAGTCTATCATTGATCGACCGCGATGAAAGATACTATGTATAACTGAACATAAGTTCAGATTTTGCATATATTATTCAGTATACAGTCACAATTCCAACAACAACAACACACAGGAATGGGTCATCTTATAAAACAATATACTGTACCTCGAGTCAGCTAAAACAACTATTTTACAGAAAAAGTTGCTGTCAAGAAAACGCGAAGGTGGAAAATATAGATTTCGAATGTGTTAATGCAATACCCAACTTGTTTGAAATGAATAATACTCCTTATGGACGTCAATTATAAACAAAGAACTACGGAGATCCTTACTGGTGATGATCCCCACAGTACATGGATGACATTTTTGAAAAATATGGAACAAATTACTATGCAGGGCTAGACGCTCGTCAATTTTAAAGAAGCCAAGCTGGGGCCGGATATGTATCCACACTTTGCACACATCAACTTGTACTAGGAATTGAGCAATGTTCAGGTTATCTCAGAAAGTGCTTCCTCTGTTTCATGGTGTTTGGCCTCAAGTCACACTGAAGAACGTGTCCCTAGCTCTAATTATAGCTTGGGAAGTTCTTGTAATTTTGTTAACCTTATGCTTCACTTTGAGCAATTATAAGGTGGTGTGGCGTCCCACATTTAGTGGGTGATTCATGTCAAATATGAGGCTCCTGGCTCATTATTATTTGTTTTTCTTTACATCTTTTGTTTGCTTCCAAATTCTCTTCAGTTCCTTCATTCATTAATTTCTTTAAGAGCGAAATTCAAATCCTGATATGATAAAATATGAATCATCTGAATCTCGTTCACTTCACCTTGCCGGAAAGAATCCACATTTGTAAAGTTTGATACAACAGGAACGGGTGCATTGATTAATTAAATGACAATATAATTTTGTCTCCCGTTTGCGTATTTCACGACAAAATCATTAAAATAACAATGAAATTAAAAAGCGGAAACATAGTTACAAACAGATATTTTTGTTGAATGTTTTGCTATACATACTACGTACACGATATCTAAATTGACTTGAAGATCACGAGGTATTTCTAGGTCTTTATGCCCGGTGTCACAGCGGATTTGGACCCCCCGCGGATATGGACCCCCGGTCCATATCCGCTAGCGGATTTGGACCCCCCCGGTCCATATCCGCTAGCGGATACGTACCCCCCTCCGCGCGGATTCGGACCCCCCAATATTTAGATAAAATTATAAGCCGCTCGTTTCAAACATCTCGCTTTTCATGGGCCTGGCTATTGTTTTTGCCACCATAAAACAAGGCGCCGTCTTTCAAAACAAAAACTTTTCGGCTTTCTTTCTAAGATTTTTTTTATCTTTTCCAGCACTACTAGGATAGCTACCATCACAAAGATAATTAAAAATTTCATAGTAACAATTCTTTTCAGTCATCGCAAAGTGTGCCACTTATAAGACCAACCGCAAAATATTTAGTATTTACTGTCCTTCTATCACCAAGATACAACGCACGTGCTGGTTCATATGGTTGTAAATTTATTATCGAAATTAAGATACCTAATAGCATCAATTAAC